CAGATGAGCAGATGAGGAGAGATGTAGATGTGTAGATGAGCAGAGATTTAGGTGAGAATGTGAATGTGCAGAGGTGAAGATGTGAAGATGTGAAGATGTATTCTGCAGATGCTTTTTTACGAAGAACCCTTCGCAGACGCTCTCGGGAACTCCCAAAAGCAACAGATGTGCTCGGGCAACTCGGCCAGTTCTGAATGCTTTTCAGTTTCCGCCTAAGTGTAGACTTAGACTTGCTTCTGTCCTCTGCGAAATTGGCAACGAGGGCACTACAAACATCCATGATGTCGAAGGCAGCAACAGCCAAGGGAACGCAAGACCTCCGATCACAATCAACAGCTTGGCAACATTCGGAAGCAGAACGCCGGCCGCGAATGAGACAAAAGAAGACAACTTCGCGGACAAGTGACCGGAACAAACAAATGTCACCAACGGAGAGCAACGAAAAACTTCAGCAGAACAGATTTCCAGACCACGGTCCATCACACCACAGCATTGACATGTTTCACAGCATTCTGAGCGGGAAGCATGTGATGGCATTTCCCTTTCGCGCTCTTGATTGTTGGCATCATGATGTTTCCAGGAAGCTGCTGTAATGACTCTAATGTGACCAAGCTGCACTTCCCTGTCTTGCAGCCACACGGAAAAAATCCCCAATCCAGGAATGTTGACATACAAACATGTCTGGAACAATGCTTGAGTGAGCAAAAAACAACGTGAGAACTGCAGGGCGCTTGACACCAAAAACCGAAAACGATGCAGCTGAGTGTTCACAGATTCACAGGCTTGAAGAGAATGGAAAATTCAAGCTTGAGTGCATGGTGCAGCGCCAAGGACCGAGCGTGGTTGCAATTTCTTGGGCAGTCGGGACAGTCAGGACATTCATCAATTATTTAAATTGAGACAGTTCCCCCTCTTCAGGATTCAGCTTGCAAGAGGGATAATCCCACGGCACCTGAAACCTCACCCTACCAGCCCTACACACAACAGACACGACGTTAATAGTTGGCAACCTTGGCTTGGTCGCTCTTCTTTCGTTTAATGGCACCTTAGCGGTGAAGGTACAGGTGCATCAAGGTGAAAGATAAACGAGGGCTTGAGAGTTGCTCAGCTTGATATTGCGGTCTTTTTCTTCCCCTTAAAAATGCGAACTGATTGGCAAAGCTTAGCAGGCTTCTTGTTCAGTGCACCTTGCTGAGCTCGGCTGCGAAACGCGAAACCACCTCCACAGAATCAAACGGTGCCCAACTGAAGCGCTGGAGAACCTGCCAATTTCTTGCAGCCTCAACTGTTGGTGTCCACTCACTTCGGCACAGGCATTCCCAGCCTGCACAACATAAAGGCTATTGCCAATCATCTCCAAATTCAAGTAACTTGATTAAGCCGCCGACTATCAGCCATAATCCAATCCGAATCTGACACTGCTGCTTCCACCCTTAGCTGGTTGAATGGACGAGGCCGTTTCTTGGATTGGACCTCAGACTTGTACATGCTTAATCGATGATGTGCTGGTGCTAAAGAAGCCTTGGTGATTGTTGATCCGTTTCACTGCAAACGGTGATCATCTTGGCACTGTGCTTTGCCATATGCATCATGTACAGGAGACATGTAGCCACCAACCACTTTAAATTTACCTTCCAGCCGGGTCAATATGTCAATATCGAACTCCACACTCCACACTCCTCTCAAATGACATTCCTCACACTCTCACCTCCAGTGCGTTCCAAAGCATCACGAGCCTACCGGACGGGCTGGCAAAAGGAAGGACAGAGAGTCAGAGAGGGAATCAAAATTGTTTGGCCTCTTCAAACATCCTCAAATGCAGCAGCGTTGGCGGCCTGGGACTCAGTCGTTGACACAAGAGCCCAGTGGAAATTTCCAAGGACTCGACGAAAAAGAGCCGGGGGCAACAATCGCCACTGGAATTCGTCCTTCAAGTGAGGAATCACGAAATAATCAGGAGTGCTAAAAGCTCTCTGCTTGCAAACCTTCTGGGACTTGCAGCCGCAATTTTGAAGAAGGTAGTGTGCAAACACCCTGTCTGTGGAATACCTGAAGACCCAGAAACAGGTCCACGCCCTCTCAACCCTCCCAACGTAACGTCGTAGCATCACGGCAAAGTTGCCCTCATGAATGCTTGTCGGACAGCGGCAAAGGCTGGCCTCAAGGTGTTCGCTATCTTGAGCTCGGGACTTCGGTCATTTTTGAAGATAGCCAGCCAGTCATGAACACTGTGATTGTACAGGCAATATGCTCAAAGCCCAGGTGTCAAATGGCCGGCTTGTTGGTAGCCGGCTGTCAACAAGCCATGTCAAGAAAAGACTGCAAACTGCACAAACACAAACATCCCATAGCATGTTTACATTTATTTGACACTTGCCCAGCACACTTTCACTCTTGCCGTGCAATACATTCGGCTTCCCGTGATTTGAGAGATTCAGAATCCAGCTTCACAAACTCAAGCACTGCATACTTCTTAACAACTGAGGTCCAGTCAGCATCCCAAAGGCGACAGCAAAGGCATGCCAGCGAAGCTTGCGGCCTACAAGCAAAGTAAACATGACTCAAGGCTTCAACTTTTTCGAGAATCATAGGAATGACACAATGTTTGCTGATGCACAAAGCCAGAAGAAGATCTTTTCCGCTCTGACCTCAAGCACACTATTATTACCCGTTACCCCATCATTCTTGTATATCACTGTGGCGCTCGTTAAGTTTAAGACAAGGTCTAACTAACACAATCTGAGGGTGGAAATCAGAAACTTTTTCGTCCATACACTGACACATGAGAAATCTGATGGGCACTGTTGAAGTATTCAAAAGCAGTTTGTAGTTTCTTACAGCAGGGAGATGTTGACTGGGCAGGGACATACATGGTGTGCATGCCATGTCTTGCAAGCATGATTTGCTCGATGTCGTGTTGCTGGAATTGCTTCTGTGAACCAAGGGTGACAGTGCATTTGGAGTCCTTTCATAAGTAAAGGCGACCCTGTGGTTTATTTAGCCCACCCACCGAACCCGCCCTGTGCATGAAAGGTGTGGGGTGTTGGAGGCCTGCCCCCAGTTTGTCACTGCGGGCCAAAAGGAGTTTTGTCCCACATCAGGGTGTTCAGGAGTTTGGGTCTTTAACAAATGTTGTGCAACAAATGTTGTGCATGCCTCTTTGAGCATGACCTGCACAAAACTAAAACAGAGGGAAACAGCTGTCGACACAAAAAGAAGGAGACCATCATACTACAGTCAGGCTATCACAAAAGAGGGCAACACGACAAGAGATACTATTTGACTCTTAGTTGAGAACCCTCAGCCAAACTGTTTGGGAAACGGGTGCCCAGGCAGCAGGGAATCATGTTGTCAGGGTCACTACAAATGCAATGGAAGAACCTGATGAGCTACATACGCAACTAAAACTATTTTGTAACAAAAAATACACCAATATGGTGCTAGCTAGCCGACATCTGCCGGTGTTTCACGCATTACAGCAGTCTCTGCTTCCGAGATTTTGGACAACAATCATAAATCCAAAAGAATCGTTGTTTTTAAACTTGAGTTGGTTGGTGCGCAAATGCAACCATCTTTGTCTCGGGTTTATTGACTATGGCACCATTGTACAACGCAACAGGACTTGGCGCACATGTCACGCAAAATGCCTTGTCGTGGGTTCACCAACACCACAGGAAACCTTTGTTGGTTGCACCCGTGTCTGGCAAAACTAACCTTTGACCCGCAAAGATTTGCAAACTGTTTGTATCTTGATCGATGTTGGCCCGTCACTGGAATATCATTTGGGGTTCCAGCCTCGGTTTAGCGCCATGAATAAATGAGAAGTACACTTTTGGTTGAATTTCATCAACCTCCTGACTTCAAGCGCGTCTCTTCACAAATGCATTCATTGCAAAGGATAGGAACAAGGGGCTGGCAGAGGTTGGCAAACAAGCTAGTGAATGCATGCGCATTGATAGAACAACTGCAGAGGAAGAAAACCTTCACATCCAGCAAACCTGGGTGCAAACGATTTAACAATTTAACACGCGTGCATGCCTACATTACATATTGATATATTATATAGATATACAGCACATGTATGTTCCTGCCTGGGCACCCTCTGGGCGAGGTGGTCTCTCGTGCACTTCTCATGGTGCTTCAGCCAAAGGAAACGAATCTGAAAAATGCCAGTGCTGGAACCCAATTTAAACTGCTAGAAGAACAAGAAGCACGGCGAGTTCAAAACCAACCAAGTGAAAACAAACATGGTTCCAGGCCAATTGACTCCATATGTGGAGTGAAACAACCTGGAACCATGTTCGTCCTCACTACTTACTCGGTAAAGTCCGGCGTCGAACCTGCATGCAGCGCTAAAGTCATGTCCGAATGTCACGCTTCAACCCAGTCTTGCAGCGTGAAAAAGTCAGACAACCACAATTTTTCTTCTGTGAAAAACTGCAAATTATATATTATGTGATTGAGACCGCAAAAACAAAGACAAGACGCAGAGCCACTTTTCTCCCTAAGGCCGGGGGGAGGCACGAGGTTCTTGCGCGTCACCCGGCTTTAGGTGTTCTTTCCCTTCACAAAGCCAACAAAATTAATACAGCTTCCTTGTTTCTTCCGAATGCACAGCGAAGGGTTGTCGCTTGACTCTTGGAGTCTGGGGGTTTTGGTGGGGCCTTGTTCGCGACCCGTTGCCTCAGCGTTCGCAACTGTCCGCAACTGTCCGCAAGTGCTCGCAGGGAAGTTTTTGGAAAGAGTTTTGCATGAAACCGTGACGTGTCAGATTCGTGTGAAAAAGCGAGAATTCATGTGGAAGCGTCAGATGTTGACAAGGTGTAACAGAGGTGACATTTCGCGGCGCACTTTGCGTGGTGGAAGTGAATGTCGTTGTTGGGGAAGGCTGTAATCACGAAACTGCTTGGCAGGGCTGCTTGATGTGTGTGCTCTGATGGGGGTCCCGCTTGACTTGCAGAGGATGTCTCGTGCGAAATGCGCGTTTTGAAGACTTTGACATGTGACTTTTGGAGGATGTCTCGCACGAAACGCTCGTTTTGAAGACGCTCGTTTTGCAGACTCAAAGCGGGAGTTTTTGAGGATGTCTCTTGCAAAACGCTCGTCTTGGAGGATTGACACCGCGCGAAATTTAGAGAAGTCTCGAACGAAACGCACGTTTTGCAGACTCACGCGTGAGTTTTTAAGGACGTCTCGTACAAAGCGCTCGTTTTGGAGGATTGGCGCGTGAATTTTTGAGGAAGACTTTGTACGAAAGCGGAATTGAAGTGTTCCACAAGAGTATCCGACAACAGTGTCCCGCAAGAGTGTCCTGCAAGAGCGCTGTCCGGCAACCCGCAAGAAGAGTGACATGCAAGAGTGTGTCACAAGAGCGTCCTGCAAGACTGTCCACACAGGAAGCAGCTTCGACTGGCCGACAACTTGTCTTCATCGATGCTGAGACCGAGACCGACTTGACGATGTGCAAGAAACTCCACATTCGACATGAAACAAGTTTGCCAAGGAGCTCATGCCCACATAGCTGAAGCCTTCTTATTCAGCGCCCATGACGGTTGATTTGTGCACCACCCAACAGAATCTTCGCAAGGCGCCGACGCTTCGATCAACAACTATTTGGACTCGCAAGAAGGCCCGCGCAGATGAGAGCATCCTCGTCTTTGATTGCACTCTCAGCAAAGATGCACTGCAGGAGTCACCGGGCTGGGTATTTTTTAACACCAAAAAAAATTCAACACCTGTATTTTTCCAAAATGGTATTTTCTGAGTTTAGAAGTATTTTTGCAACTCCTGAATTGTCTTTTTTGATCGGAAAGGTTTTTTTCGACCCCAAAACAATGTTTTTGAAGCCCCAAAGAAAAAGAGAGAGAGAGAGAGACAACGGTGGGGACGGGAGACGGTGTGAAGGATTGGCTGGTCACACGTGACTGTCTCAAACATGGATCGGATGGTTAGAGGTCAGCTCTACGCGGCGCCTGCCAGCCACTTACAGTATGTTTTTTCAGTCTCTTGCTCGAGTAGAGTCGAGTTGTCCGAGGTCCCTGCGTCCAGTTCCTCTGCCAGTTGCTTCCTCCAGGTACCTGCCCGTACAACCAACCAACAGAAACAACAGCAACAACAACACAAACCAACCACCCCTTCCCCACGCCTGCAACGAAATCACATTGCGCTGCGCCCTCCCCCGCACCCCTTCACACGTCTATACTTGGTTCGCATTGCGGGGGAGGCCCTTACGTTTTTTATACTCTTTGTACATAAGGGCCTCGCTTAGCTTTGCAGTGTTACTAAGGCCGGCCCCACCCCGACCAACCAATCCATCTATCAACGACTGCAACACCCCAAGACCCACATCCACACACCCACACGGCAGCGAGACGAGGCCATATATGCAAAGACTTGCCTTGTCTCACCTAGATTTGTCATCTTGTACTTGACGACACCTCCGTCCACTAACCCACACCCACACGGCAGCGAGCCGAGGCCATATATACCTGAGAAGCTGCAAAACGAAAGCCAGCGCTTCCCTTTCTCGACAACTGCGCGTCGAAGCAAGCAAATGAGCTCTCGCAGCTGCTTGCGGCCGCGTGTCAAATCTGCTTCATGTCTTGTTCTGCCCACACAGAGGTAACCATGTCAAAACAAAAACCTGCGCTTCCTGGCAATTGAGGGGTTCGGTGTCATTTTGCCCAGATTTTTCCTCTGCACAGGGGGGGGTTTGGATGGAATCCGATGTTTTAGGCCGTAGCCAAATCTATCCACATTGACATCATTTGGTGTCTACCAGGACCTTCAAAGTGACCGTCCGAGATCCCAGAATGAGGTCACTTAGTCACTTAGTCCCGAATGAGGTCACTTGGAGACTCCAAAGAGGTCATTCTGAAGGTCCTGGTGTTTCATTCCACTTCCAGTAAGACTAAGATCCTTTGTTTCTGGTGGCTATGCGCAAGCGACTCATGCTCTTCAAGGAGTGCTGTAAGTGAAGTATCGGAGTGCTCTTCTGAAGCTAGCCTGGGTCCGTATAAATACTATGTTGCTATACCTCTTACACACCTACACAAGTTCAAAGCACGAATGAGACTTCAAAGCTGTGGATTGCTGTGCGTGTGTAGAGGCTATCGAGCGGTTGACGGAAAGGGAACTTGAAGTACTATACCTGGTAGCTGCACTATAGCTACCCTGGGTCTCTATACCTAGCAAGGTGCCAACTACACCTTTATTTTCAAGATGGCCTGAACAGAGTGTTTTAGGGCAGCAAACCGTGGTCTCAGGCCACCTTGAATTTAGCTTGAAAAACACAGCTACATAGCTACCCTGGGTCTCTATACCTGGCAAGGTGCCAACTACACCTTTATTTTCAAGGTGGCCTGAAC